TCTCTCTCTCTCTCTCTCTCTCTCTCTCTCTCTCTCTCTCTCTCTCTCTCTGTGTGTTGTTAGATTCTGTGTGTGTGTGTGTGTGTGTGTGCGTGTGTGTATGTGTGTATGTGTGTGTGTTATTGTGTGTGTGTGAATGCGCGAGCAGAAGCTTCCAACCAATCATTGGCACAAAGAGCAGCGAGGAAGTCCTCAAAGAAATGCAGATGCGAAGGTGAGGAAGACAACTCTTGCAGGCACAACCGAAACAGGATTTAGAAAGTCGTCTGCAATCGTAATTCAAATCTTAACTCCTTAATCAGAGGTATATAGCAACCCAGTATCATGTACAGTACGACTTTACCGCGCTTACTATCTTTCAGGACAGGATTTCTTTCTCTCTTCTTCACCCAACCACACCAATTCCAATATCCACGAGGACTCCAACTTGACTTAAAAAAACATAGGAAAGCACACGTAATTAGACGCAAGGAAGAAACAGAATTCAAAAAATGGCTAATAATAAACACAATTTCGGGACAATCGCAAGTAAAACCTAACAGAGCTGACATTGGATCGTACCTCCTAGGATACAAAGGGCATTTGATCACTCACCATCTCATCGACTGTCTTCGCAGTTAAGCCAGACGTCACAGTGTTTCCCACTTTCAGAAGATGGCCAAAGGCATTTCCCGCAAGCAGCAGCGTGTCCTCCTCTCTCTTAACCTCGAAGACGTATCTGAGAAAACTGTCGAGCTTATTCAACTTGGCAGAGTGCTCACCCAGCTTCCAATCGATGAGAGCGTCAATGGCACAAACGCCCCCAATGTTCTCCAGCTCGTCGGCGCTCTCGATCATCGCCCGCAAACGCCCGTATAACCGATCCATGAACCCCGTGAAACCCTCTCCTCTCAAGTCCCTCGTTTCCCATAACACGTACTCGCACAGAGCATTCGCCCCCGCCTTCTACCCTCATCATTATTATCACCATCATAAGCATTCACAGATATTATTGCCAAAAAAAACAGAACAAAACAACATAATCATCGCCATTAGCAGCACAATGAACATCAGCATCATCACATTCAACGACGAAATAATTGAAAGACAATCAGTTCAATGCAGGAACCTGGTCGGGGTGGAGCAAGGGGAACAGGCAGAAAGAGCTTGACACAGCTCTGTTGAGGCAGAGTACGCCTTTCGATGACACGCCGGCGGCTCAACATGGTCGACTCTTCCTGATAATCATCAATGATTAAGACGATTATCATAGTAATAACGACAGCAAGATGCACATGTTAGCAGTAGCGACAATCGTGATGACAATGGTGAAAGAACGTGCCTTGGCGGCGCACACATATAAACAACGATATCAATGGAAGGATAGAGGAGCCATGAACGGTGAAAATAGTGTATTCGGGATCGTTTCATGGAAGGTAATTGCCTTGTTTTTCCGTCTTTTCACGCACTGTGTTTTTGCATGTTTCCCGTATCAAATGTTGCAACTACAGTCATTCAGCAGCATCGTCCCCGTCTGCACTGAGAAAGGCTTGTCAACAATGGTTGTTTCCTCCTCTACGCTAAAAAAGGCTCATCAACGATGGTCGAGGAAAACGGGAGAAAGGAGCTCGTCTATTACTCGATACTGTACTTGTCAATTCAAATCCTACAGTAGGATGCAGACAGCCAATTAAGAAACCAGCAATCTGTTTGCGCAGGTTTCCCATAAGAGACCCTTAGCGCTTCCAGTAGATGAAAATGTCGCACATGCAAGTAGGGCGGAGCGGATATGATTAGATGGTCTCCAAGCTTATGGACGGTCTCTGGCACATGGAGACACAACAGAGGCCCTCCAAGTTGTGCCAGAGACCCTCCAAGCTGACATGCCAATCGTTTCGTCCATTCGTCCATCACCCGAAAAACACACCCATCCATCGAAGTAACAGAGCCAAATGGTTCAGACCGTCGCCATCGCGTCCGCCCGATCCACCCACTCATCCATCGTCGCCCACGTACTTATTCAACCCTTCACTCCTTCACGCAACAACTCATTCATTCACTCATACATAGCGCACACGCACACACACACACACACAAACACACACACACACACACACACAGAGCCACAGTTCACTGACACTAGTTCAATCGGTGACATCGATGTATCCATCCACCACAGCACTTGCTCGCCCACTCGTCTCACTACCGTAGTCTATAGGTCGGCCAATCGGTAAGTCGATCACTCAGTCACCGATGCATCCTTTCACTCACTCGCCCACTGCACCGCCGTATCGGTAAGTCCACTCAGCCAGCCGGTGATTCATATTAACCTGTTCGCCGAGTCTCACACCATCCCCTCAATCGCCCATCCACTCGCTTGCTCATTCGCCAATTTCGCCACTTACTCCCTCGTCATTTCCCTAATCCATCATCCCTCTGAAACCGCTAACACATCGCTCATCCGACCCTCACGTAAGAAGAAAAAACTCCACAGATTCTATCCGGTCGCTCGTCCACTCCCATTACCAAGCGCTGTATCCACTCATCACCTTCGCTCCCCCATCGCTGACGTCATCCTGTCGCCCATCCTTCCTCACCCCATTCACTCGCCGTCTTTTCAATCAATCTCAAGGTCACTCTACCCCCTGTAAACATCCACTCGTTGCATTCCTTCGGTATTTGTGATCTGCTTTCGTCCATCGGCAAGCGGGTCGTGGGATTCGTCCACTTACATGCGTTCGACCGAGTTGGACGATGCATGTATCGCATGGGATGATGGATGCATTGCTCGACACGGATCAGATCCAGTGACCAATTTGGCAATCCCAAGTACCAGATTACAGTGACGGGTTCCGCAGAACGACGACCGGCTTAAGCTGATGCGTAGGATTGACGAGGGAGCAAGACGACACGTAAGAAAAGACAGGCTTGGAAAACAGGGAAAATCGAAGAAGGAAGAGGAGGAGGGAGGCGGGGGGGGGGAAGAGGCTTGGTAGATGGGGGGGTTTCGGCGCACGTAAGCGATAACTTCAATCGTAGGTGACTGAAGAAACCACTGAGAGCATACCCCCACTAGGACTTTTCTGAACGCATCTGACTGCAATTACAGCCCGCCAAGGGTGCATCTGAACGCAATTAGGTCTAGAATGAGAATAAAAGGTCCTAATATGAGTATGCCCCGAGTAAGTGGGCGTAATATGAGTATGCCCCCAGTAAGTGGGCGTAATATGAGTATGCCCCGAGTAGAACTCAGAATCCACCGCCAACAGATCTGCCGCTTCGGATCTGCGCCAGAGAATAGGCAAGGAGAATTGCCTGATATATCTGTTTGGAAAAACGGGAGATCTTAGGGCAAGGAAAGGCAACAGACTGTCTCTTATACACATCTAGACCGATCGACGACAGCTCTACAAATCCCAGAGCATCTGCAGTTAGTACGCAATAGGGGATCTGTGCTGGTTTACCCCACACGACTGAAATCGCGGTCAGTGGGTGTGTAGAACGTCGTGAAGAAAACGAACCACCAAAGGGAGAAAAAACGAAGCACCACAGGGAGAAGAAAGAAGAAAGAAGGTGGGACAAAGGGAGGCAGGAAAGCAATGAGGAAAAAGTGCACGACGAGGCTGCAGATACCGGAGGAGAGGGACGACGAAGACGATGACAGGGGAGGGTGGAACTGCAGGTGGAGAGGGGCGGGGGGCAGAAGAACGAGAAAGAGGATGATAGGGGGGAGGGTGGAAATGCAGGCGGGAGGGGGAAGAAGAAGAGGTCGCACACCGAAGACAAACTTGAGAACTGGTAGGTAGGCAAAGGCAAGGAAAGGAACATGATATAATGGGTCGAGTGGAACGAAGAGACTGACGAATATACCACGAGATGCGACATTAGGAGGAAGATGAGGGGGGCAAATACGAGCAGGGGTGTCAAGAGTGACGGGAAAAAGGAGAAAAGGGATGAAGAGTGAGGAAGAAAGACAAACCAGGAATGAACGAAGAAGGCCAAAGGGAGATATTGAGTGGAAAACGTGGAAGGAGAAACAAAGGAGAAGAAGATAGACGGGAGGAGACACGGGAGATGAAAGGAGGAGAAGGAAGCAGGACGAGCAGAGACGAGGGCGGAGAAAGAGGAAAGAGGAGAAAGAAAAAAAAGAGGAAATGACGCAGAAGCAGAGAACAAGAACGGGGTAGGTCTTGAAAAAAAAAAAAAAAAAAAGGAACGGGAAAGGCAAAAGGTGAAACGCAAAGGAGAAATAGCGGTACGAACAAAACGAAGAAAGAGGCAAGGAGGAGGAGGCTAGACAGGAAGGCGGAAGACGACCACCGCCACGAGAGGAGCAGGAAGTAGGTGGGCCGAATGACGATGGAGAGGGGGGAGGTCGCGATTAGAAAACGACAAGGGGTTTTGCGCGCGCGCGCGTGTGGGGGAGAAGGGGTGGGGAAATGGGGGGGGGGGGGAGGGGGGGTGAAGAACTTCATCTGTAGATATCTCACTTGCGCTGCAAAGTGCACAATTATGCAATCTACAGAGAAGGTATATTCCTTGATGGCGCTCAATCGTCGGTGGACAGGGGTCTGCTGATGAATGTCCTTAACAGTGCCATCGAAATGGAGATCCTCCAACGGCTCCTCACTGATTTCTTCCCCTCAACGCTCACAGTCATCTGCTATCATTTTGGACCGTTCTCAAAGACTATTCGCCGCCCTTCTCAACCACACATGCTCATTTGCGCATGTCCGTTGCCATCATTCCCCGCTTGACCTTGCTTACATCTTACAACGACAACGCTCGTACATACGAATTTCCACGAGCCGCCGTCTTTGTGCATCAGAGACTCCGCGCCACGCAACACATCCAATTTCTGCTCTACCACCTGACCAGCCTTCTCTCTCTCTCTCTCTCTCTCTCTCTCTCTCTCTCTCTCTCTCTCTCTCTCTCTCTCTCTCACACACACACTCTCTCTCACACACACACACACACACACAGACACACACACACACACACACACACACACACACACACAGACATGTGCACGCGTCCACGCCCCCGCCCACACATAGCGCGCGCGCGCGCATACACACACAGAGACACGCAAATACGCGAACAGAAAAAAACGAAGCCACACAAAGGCAAAAGCAGAGGCGATCCCTCGATTGGACTCGGTGTGTCGTTCAGTTTCGCAATTCGCATCCAGGAATTTCTAGATTGATTGATAGATTGATGAGCAACCAAGGAAGGGATGGGAAATTCGGAGATAAATGCTCACCTGCTGGGCAGGATCGCGAGTTCGGAGGTCGCTAAGTAAATAATATAAGGCATCTTGCTGCGGCTGAGGCGAGGGCTTCGCCGGCGGCGCAGCCATGTTGGCCGAAGTGAAAATTGAGAACCACAGCTTGACGCCCAGCGAGTTACGCACGCGGAGGCGACCCTCCCTTTCAATTTCAGGCCATCTCATATGTCGTCTCCTTCATCATCCCCTTGACAGAAGAAACAGTAACTATTCCTGTCGCTGATGTACCTTCACTGACCTCCGTTAGCGATCGCGTTGCACAGCCTCTCATACCACTCCGCCACAATTCCCTTGTCGACTTGCATCGTCCCTCTATCACGCTCATCGAGTTCGGCAAAATTACCTTGTTGCCGAACTAGTAACACGCGCTTTCAACTCCCGATCAGTCAAAAGCAGATACACACTATTACGCTGTCTCCTCCGCTGAGATAGGAGTCGAGTTCATCGGAACTCTTCGGTCGCTGCCCAGTGGCCGGCAGCGTCCAGAGAGGGGAAGGACGGCATTTTTCAATTGATTAGGAATGAAATAGTCGCCGCCGACAGGTACCTTCACGACCAAGACAACGTCGACGGCATGGTGAAGTAATCTCCGACAGGTAGCCCCCAATCGCACGTTCACCGTCAAAGATATCATCATAGACAATCGACGTCGGATCCAACACTCCTCTCGTTCATCGGCACTTCGGCACGCGGGCGGGCAGACGACCAAACCGATGTAGCCCGCCCCTAAGTAGTCGTCAGATTCCGGATTCTTCGCGTGAATGAACGGCGTTGACTTTCCCCGTCGCCTCCCCAACCCCCGATCTTGTTCTCGACAAGAGATGAAACTGGGAGAACAAAACCAAGATCCGGCCGGCGCGTGCACATGTACCTGCGGGCAAGTGGAATAAGTGAAACAAGGATGGTGACGACGACGACAGACCAAGAGCCAGAGACATGGCATAGCCGTCTGGACTGAAAGCCTCAACTTACCTAGGCGCCTCGGGGACGCCTTCCCTCTCACCGTATTACCACACCATCGGCTACAGGTATCTCACCAACCCATGATGATTACAATTATTACAACTTTACACCATAATCTGACCTCAGGAATCGAACACGCGACCTCCCTCATGGGAGCTACACGCTCAACCAAACGAGTGAGAATGCCTGGCATGAAATTTAAGCCCCAAGATTGGTACTTAACCACCCCAGCACGGTTTCCTGCGTCCCGGTGTACCCAGTCACGTTCACACCTGACCCGACCACATAGGCCTGTCGACGCAGCCAGCAGTCAATGTGTCTCCTCACTGGCGGTTACTGCGGTTATCAATTTACATAGAACACGCGACCTCCCTCATGGGAGTTGCACCCTCAATGGCGTGACCCCACCCCAGCACGGTTTCCCGCGTCCCGGTGTACCCAGTCACACTCACACCTGACCTGACCACATAGGCCTGTCGACGCAGCCACCAGTAAATGTGTCTCCTCAGTGCTGGTTACTGCGCTAATCAAGGATTACACTTTTTTGGTCTATGATCCGATCTCAAGAATTGAACACGCAACCTCCCTCATGGGCGTTGCATACTTACCCAAACGGCTAAGCTGACTGGGGTGAAATGTAAGCCCCAAGATTGGTACTTAACCCCACCCCAGCACGGTTTCCCACGTCCCAGTGTACCCAGTCACACTCACACCTGACCCTACCACATAAGCCTGTCAACGCAGCCACCAGTCAATGTGTCTCCTCACTGCCGGTTACTGCGCTAATCAAGAATTACAATTTTTTCATCCATGATCACATCTCAAAATCGAACACAAGACCTCCCTCATGGGAGTTGCACGCTCAACCAAACGGCTAAGCTGACTGGGGTGAAAGATACGCCCCAAGATTGGTACTTACCCCCACCCCAGCATGGTTTCCCACGTCCCAGTGTACCCAGTCACACTCACACCTGACCTGACCACATAGGCCTGTCGACACAGCCACCAGTCAATGTGTCTCCTTACTGCCAGTTACTGCGCTAATCAAGAATTACAATTTGTTCGTCCATAATCCGATCTGATCTGAAGAATCGAACACACGACCTCCCTCATGAGAGTTGCACGCTCAACCAAACAGCTAAGCTAATTGAGGTGAAAGTTAAGCCCCAAGATTGGTACTTAACCCGACCCCAACACGGTTTCCCGCGTCCCTGTGTACCCAATCACTCTCACACCTGACCCGACCACATAGGCCTGTCGACGCAGCCACCAGTCAATGTGTCTCCTCATTGCCGGTTACTACGCTAATCTAGAATTACATTTTTTTTGTCCATGATCCGATCTCAGGAATCGAACACGTGACCTCCCTCATGGGAGTTGCACGCTGAGACTTGCGACTTGCAGACTGGTGACTCACTAATTGTCCATCGCGGGGGCTACGGGTCCTTATGCCGAACTGTTTCCAAACTCGAAGGCGGGCGGGATTGTGGTTTTGCGTGGTGTTGGAGGGTGTGGTGTACTAGCCCAACACTACATACAAGATACCAATCCATGAGCTCCGCAGCGTACCGGATACTAGTCCATGAGCTCTACTGTGTACTGGCCCCTTGCTCGGACCTCACAACATACCAGCTCTCTGCCTACAAAGCTCCACTGTGTACCAGGCACAACCTGCTCATTGCCATGGTAAAATACTAGGCTCGCCCTGCGCGGGTTGCATCTTTGGACTAGTCCGGCGGGGGCTCCCACGACAAAAGGGGGTGGGTGCGCAATTGGACTTTCCATTGGTCCACGCAGGCTCGATGCCTTGCTATACAACAGAGCACTACTGGCATATGGCCGTGGTAGCCGCCGGGCTCACCCAGGGACGCGGAGGTAAAGGGGCCGGCGCAGTTTTTTCCACTGCCCGCCGAGCTCTCTCACGATGAAAGTGAGAAGAAACCGAGGACAAAAAAGAAAAAAGAAAAAAGAAAAAAAAGGAGAGGAAAAAAAAAGCTAGAAAAGTCGCGTGTCATATCTGCACCTTGATTCGAACGACCGCTTCCGCTCGAATTATCTACTAGCGTCGGGTTGTAACAACGTTATGTTTCTTTCAATTTTTTGTTTGTTTTGTTGTTACTATTACTATTATTATTGTTATTACTATTATTAAGATGCCTTTTGAAACTTCCCTCCCTTTGTTGCTTCACAAGAAGGGGGGATGAAGTGTTAGTCATTGAACCCTGATTACGAACACGCGATCCCAGACTGCCCAGGCCTTTCACGTTCCATTTATCGCGGCGCAGCTTGCTAGACGCTGCGTCGTAAGACCCCATAAAAGGGGCAACCGCGACCGCTTTGGTAGGAGGCTTGTCACCCTATGAGGGGTCATAAGCCCCCTCATTATCATCGGACATGGGTACCCATCAGGGGTAGCCCGATGACCTCCTTTGAAGAAAGGAAGGCGTCCGCCTGTATCCCGTTATGGGACCAGCACTTCAGCTTTGCAATCACATCACAACAAGACGAAAGGACTGGGAATTCATAGCGGAGGGTTCCACTTGTGCTATGACCGTTAAGATTTGACCTTTCGTTTTTATCTGTTTATTTTATTATTCCTTAAATTTTTATTACTAGCAAGCAAAATTTGGAAGGTTGTTTAAGTCCCTCATTCAAAATGCAGAGATCGAGGTGTGTAACGATCCTATGAAGGGTGAAGAGGGCGGGTTGTTGGCTGCTAACCAGTAGGTGCACGTAGGCAGCCTCGTTATGCTAATGCTAGTGATCTGAGGTAGGAGGGCAGAGCGGTGCAATATCATCCAGGTGGTAAAATTGTATGTGTGTGTGTGCTCAACAGGCATCAAGGCTCCGACTATTCTGCGAAGTGCACAACTATGGCCTTGCACAACTATAGGCCAGATTGTAACACGTTGGAGGTCGATGTCCGGAGAGGGTCCCTAGATAACCATGATCCTAAACTATGACGAAGGGAGCGAGGCCAAGTTGGAAATTAACGTGGAGGGAGTAAGAGAGGAGGAGATGAAAGGGGACCTGAAGTTATAGGTAACGCTCACGGAAGCGAAGGACCAGGCCAAGCGAAGATGTCGAAGAGACGGTATCACGACAGACGGTATCATACCATGAATTTGAGATCTCTACCGAGACCACGGAGCGTGAGCAGTATCACCTAAACCGGGACTCAACAGGTGAAAGTGAGGTCAGCGAGGCGGAGACTCTGTCCTTATACGGGTTAGACCAGTGGCGGAGGGACCACCCGCCGACTGAGCTTGTGGAGAGCTGCTCAGAGGTCAACTCACAGCGGCGGAAGGACTAGAGGTCAACTCGCAAGGACGAAAGAATGGACGAGTGAACGGTTACACGAGAGAGAGAGAGAGAGAGAGAGAGAGAGAGAGAGAGAGAGAGAGAGAGAGAGAGAGAGAGAGAGAGAGAGAGAGAGAGAGAGACTAAGGAGAGATATGTGACGCGCAACCAGAGGGGGCGTTTTTTTTTTGTACGTTTGTTGTTGACATCATTATTCTACGAGTTTGTCACAAGAAAGGGGGCACAAACAGAGGTCAGACATGTTCAGATACACGGACGCTTCTTCGTTATCGTTGACACCTTGAGGCGATACTTCTCTCGCTGACCACCACTTTACGACTTCACTTCCATCGTAGTCACGGTACATGCTCTTGTGTATGGACTCGTTGCAGTCGTTGCAGCTTCCTTTTCGGACGAGTGGACAGGACCTACGTGTGTGCGGCCTACGTGTGATTAGTGTGGAGTTATATTGGTCATTGCCTACGCAGAGAGTGGGAGCGAAAGGGTCTGCGAAGAGGTGTGTGCATGCGCGAGTGAGTGGTGAGAACAGGAGAGCGAGGAGACGAACATCAGTGAGAGGAAAGAGGGGGGGGGGGGGGGGGGGGGGGCGTAGCTGCTTGCCTCTCCTTTTCTAACGTCGTCCACTCTTCGTTTTTCCTTTTGAGTCATGGCCTTATTTGCGGCGATGAGTACCGCGGTTACCCAGTGAACTGCTAAAATTGTAAGTACGGTGTGCATGCAAAGTGTAGGTGATGAGATGAGGCGAGAGGAGGTTTGTTCCCCCTCTATATGAGTGAAAGGAGGACGGGGCGCTTTGGGCCTGGACCATGAGGGAGGGCAGCGCAAGCCTGCAAGCGGTCGTGTAGTGTGGGCAAAAAAGAAAGGTAACTAAACCAGTGGAGAGAAGGGAGTTGTTGGCGCGACTCTTAGACCCTCAGTTACTGGTGTTGGTTGGAACTGGACGCCATGGGTGA